GTTGAACGACTGGCGAGTTTGAACGACTCGTGAGTTAAACGACTGAGGTTTTTCCTATCGGCATGTAAATTTCCAGAATGCCTTTTTTTTGTTTTTGAGTTATTAAATTTAAAAGAATAAATTTCGGCGCGCAACGTCGCGGTTGCACTGAGCCGCGTGGCAACCGCACCGGCGTGAGATGAGGCGCCCGGGACGCAATTTATTCTTTGCAATTTAATAACTGAAAAATAAAAAAAGGGCATTCTGAAAATTTACATGCTGATAGGAAAAAACTTCAGCTTTCGTTTGCAATAATATATTTTCAAAAAAAACGGACCGATTTTTGGGAAATTGAAAATTAAATATTAATTATCAAAAATTAGGATAAATTTTTAAAATATTAAAAAATAAAATACACCATTGGAAAGAGGACGAAAAAACCTTTCAGAAACATATTTTAAAAAATCTTTCCCATTACAAGAATGTTTAGAAAAAATTCACAAAGTAGCCGGTGTTAGCAAAATTGGTTAAATTGACCCCCTCTACCCCCTCCAAATTTTCGAAAAAATCAAAAATATTTTTTGGGGCACATTTCTACTTGATAGAACAACAAATTCCCTGAGTTTTAATTTTTTTTTCAAGAAGTTGAAATTTCAACTTAGGACATTTCACGTAAAATGCCTCATATACGCCATGAAAAAAAGTTTGCCTGGTTAAAAACGTTTTTTTAATAATTTTAAAGTCAGTCATATTTGTTGTAAAAAATAACAAAGAAATTGAAAAATTTCTGAGTTGTACAATATAACAATATCGTTATTCAAATTTGTTCAAAATAACAATTTTCATTTCTCAAGTTGTACACGGAGAAACTTTTAATACCACTAATTCTTAAAACTGGTGAGACATTTTAGTATGTTAGGTTAGATTCAAGGGAAAAACGACATAGGTTATAGAAATTGCTATTGAGACTATCAAAAACACTCATTCAGTATATATTTTACAGTTCTTCATAAGGAAACTAACGAAAATTAGTATGTTGTTTTAGAAAGAAAATAATAATTTTTGCAAAGTTGGGAAAGCCATGAATTAAAAAGAAACACAACAAATTAATTGTCTATAGATACTCATAGAGACGATAGTGATACTTGGATCTGATGGTAGATGGCATTAGTGTATGTCACTGTGTGGGATTTTGAATATATAATTAATTGTTGATAAATTAAATAATAATCAGAAGGCATCCCATCTGATTTGGCGTGTCACTTAATAAAATCTCAACTAAAAATGACGATTTTTAGGTTTATAAAAATGAATTTATTAGAGACGTGTAAAGTGCGTACTCTCAAGTAGTGGTCCCGTACATAACTGACAATTAGGCGCGAACACTCATTCTTTCCGCGCATATTCTCTCTCGCTTTACAAAAGAGCGAGAAGCCATCAGAAACGTATGTCATTCCTTCTTACTTGCTACGATCCCCACAATACTCCCCCCTAAGTGTAAACGGTATCAGAATTCTGAAATTCAACACTCAGTTTGGTAATTTCAATTTGTGCGGTCGTAGATAAATTCATAAAAAGAAAAATTAAGAAAATAAAAAATGAATGATGTATAATGATATATAATGCGCATTATTTAAGATCGAGAATATTCACGTCGATCAATTAATCTACAAAGATAAGTATAAATTATCAAAATTAAAAAATTAGCATGTACATGTGTTAATAAATAAAACTTCGCAAAAACTACGTAAATACTTTAAAAGAGATATCGTAAAGGTATAATTACAGTCATATCAGTCTTTCTAATTATTTATTTTAAATGAGACCTTCTTTTTATTAACATAGGTTCGTAGAACTGGTCTCACATTTAAATTTGTATCACAATGCGAAGTCGATGGTGCAACAGTATTCTGCATCATCGAATTGTCCTTAGGTAAAATATTTAGTTGATTACTAGAATTATTTACTCGTTTAACGTTAGTTTGTACGTTAGTCGTATTTGTAACATCAAATTGTGCATCGCTCGAATTAAAATTATTATTAATAGTATCGTTAATTGTGAAAAAAGCTGGTTTTAAATTTTCTACAGAGATTTGTCTATTGTTACCATTAATCTCTATTTCAAAAACTCTGTCAGAAGTACGTTTAATCACTTTATGAGGGCCTGAATAAGGGCATTCAAGCGCCTTCTTAATAGTTCCAATTTTCACGAAAACATGCGAGCAACTAAACAAATCCTTATGGAAAAATATTTTCTTTTTATGCTTGTGCTCAACTGGCACTGGTTTAATCATCCGCATATGTTCCCTGAATTCCTCGAGAAAAATTTGTCGATCAGCCGAGAAATCCTCCGGCAGTACAAATTCACCAGGTATTCTAATGGTGGTTCCGAACAGATACTCGGCCGGCGATGCCCCCGAATCTAAGACATTGTTACGCAATCCCAACATTACCGTCGACAGCGAGTAAATCCATTTATTATTATTGTGGCACATAATAGCCGCCTTAAGCGTGCGGTGCCAACGTTCGATAAGCCCATTTGCCGCTGGGTGATAAGGAGTTGTCCTTATCCGATTACAACCGGTCAGATTCAGTAACGCTTTAAAAAGTCGCGATTCGAATTGACTGCCCTGATCCGTAGAAAGTGTTTCCGGACACCCAAATCGCGAAATCCAACCATCGAAAAATGCGCGACACACGGTAGAGGCTTCAATATCTTTTAATGGTATTGCCTCGGGCCAACGAGAAAACCTGTCTATCAACGTCAGACAGTATTTAAAACCATCGCAAACTGGCAGGGGACCTATCAAGTCCATATGGACGTGTCGGAACCGACTGTCAGGAGCGACAAAATGTAAGGGTAGCAACGCGGTGTGTCTCGTGACTTTTGCTCGCTGGCATCGAATACAAGACCTACACCAATTTTTAATATCGCGATTCATAAACGGCCAGACGTATTTCCTGCGAATAATCCTATCCGTTAATTTACCCCCAGGGTGTGCAGCATTGTGCGTCAATTCAAAAACTCGCCTACGATAAGAACTGGGAATATAGGGACGAAGGTTATTCCCCGAAATATCACACGTGATAGGTAAGTTATCCCAAACGAATTTCTTTAAATTTAACGACGAATTTGCATCATGCAGTATCGACTTCAGTTCCTCGTCCACAGTTTGAGCTTGAGAGAGCTCTGCTAAATTGATTTCCGATGGGAAGGTTATCGCGTCTACTCGCGATAACGCGTCGGCAACGATGTTATCTATCCCGGGTAGATACTCAATTTCCGATGTAAACTGTGAGAGGTAAGAGATCTGCCTCTGTTGTCTGGGCGATGCCTTTTCACTACTTTTTTGAAATACATATATTAGCGGCTTATGATCTGTAACAATCTTAAATGAATGACCTTCGAGAAAATACCGGAAGTATTTGACTGCTTCGTACATAGCCGTTAATTCGCGATCGTAAGTACTATATTTCGACTGGGCTGAATTAAATTTCTTCGAATAAAAGGCGAGCGGTTTCCATGACTTATTTAAAAATTGTTCTAATGTCGCGCCCATTCCCCAAATCGGACGCGTCCGTCACGATTCGTGTAGGTGCGCTTTGAGACGGAAAAGCGAGCAAGGTAGCATTGGCCAACGCTTCTTTCACTGCGATAAAAGCTCGCTCGGCCTCTGCTGTCCAAACGATCTCGCGCTTATCGTTTTTTCGCGTATCGTGCAAATACTCGTTAAGCGGTTTCTGCAGTTGGGCAGCGTGTGGGACGTTTCGACGGTAAAAGTTCACGATTCCCAGGAAACGACGCAATTCCTGGATAGTGCGAGGCTTTCCAAATTCTGTAATGGCGCGAACCTTCTCCCGTGTTGGTCGAAAACCATTTTGGTCCAATAAATGACCCAAAAATTCGATTTCCTTTTTCCCTAAGATGCATTTTTTTACATTTAATTTTAACCCATAATCGTTCAATCTTTTAAAAACAATATTGAGGTGTCCCTCATGCTCCTTTCTGTCCTTGGATGCAATGAGGATATCATCCAGATAAACAAATGTAAAGTCCAGATCGCCTAAAGCCTGAAACATGTACCTCTGGAATGTCTGACCAGCATTTCTAAGTCCAAATGGCATGAATAGAAATTCAAACAGTCCAAAGGGAGTAGTCACGGCTGTCTTCGGCACATCGTCTGGAAATATCGGTATTTGATTATATGCCGCGTGCAAATCGAGTTTAGAAAAAAATTTTTTCCCGTATAAATTAATTGAGAAATCGTGGAGAAAAGGTATAGGAAATTTATCCGGAATTGTTGTTGTATTTACGAGCCTATAATCACCACAAACTCTCCACTGACCATCGCTTTTTAGGACCATGTGGATCGGAGAAGCATAACAGGAGTCAGACGGACGACATTTTCCTGCGTCGACAAGAGCTTTAAAGTGAGTTTTTGCTACTGCTAGTTTCTCTGGCGGAAGTCGACGAGGTCGTTGTGATACTGGCGGGCCTTTAGTAATGATATGATGAAAGACGCCATGTTTGACTTTAGATTCTTGTTTACTTAGGTCAACGATATCCGGATATTTTAAAATAATATCATAAAATGGTACTGAATAATCGATTACACTGATGTCCGTGACCTTGGCTTTTTTTAAAAAACATTTTGCGTATTCGCCCGTATTTAAATCTATTAATTTCCGGTTTTCCATATCCACCGATAAACCAAAATGTGTTAGGAAATCCGCACCGATAATTGGGTACGGCAACGAGGCTATGCAAAAATTCCATTGTAACTTGCGACCAAATCCACAATCAAGGCTCATTTTACTGTAACCATATGTATTTATCTGCGAGCTATTCGCAGCATAAATAACATCATGGGGAGCCTGTGATTCTGGATGGGAACTTACAGGAATAATTGATAGATCCGAACCGGTATCGATTAAAAATGATAAACCTGAATGTCGGTCACGAATGTGTAAACGTTTGGAAATTGGAAAACTCGTTAGGCAATTGATTTGACGCGGCTTTATCAGTTTCCCGAAGCGGTACCGTTTTGCCAACTGCACGGTGGCACACATTTCGCTGCTTTTACTCCAAATCTCGCGTGATAAAAACAAAAATCGCGATTATTTTCAGCGTCGCCATTCGAGTTACGCTTATGATAATTTGTATTTCTGTTCGAATTATTGTTATTATTACCATTATATTTTCTCCTATTTGCAGATTTACTTCTGTATTGTTTTTTGTAGTTCCCGGAACGTTGCGGTGAACGGAACCTATCCGACGTAGAAATCGCGTCAACCTTGGCGGTCAATTGCTCGATTAATTTTAACATTTTTTCCTGAGAATTTTCCGACGATACGGCGGCCACTTGCTGTGAATTATTTGAGCCGGATGCTTCTACAAAACGATCGGCCATTTCGGCCAATTTGTCGATCTCAGTAGTTTCACTTAATGCGAGTGCTGCGCGACAATTTGCAGGTAAGTGATCTACAAAAACGGTTTTTAAAATTTCGTCGCTGCATTTACCCTGACTCAAGACTCTAATGCGATTCAAAATTAAGGAAGGTTTTCCTTCTTCGGACATTTCCCCTTTTAACATTTGCCGTAAACGCGTTTCCGGAGATACTGAAAAAGTTGATATTAAACGACGCTTGATTTGACTATAGATATCCTCTGGCTGGTTTTCCAACGTAATTATGTCACTCAACGTCATCACCGTGTCAAAATCCAACGCGGCCAACACTGCCCCAGCCTTGGCTTTTTCCCTTTTGACTCTCGAATAATCGAAAAGGAGTTCTACTTCCGCGAACCACACGCCTGGTTCTTTGTTGTAAAAACCGGGCAATTTTAATAAAGGTCGGAATCGATTGCGTGATCTGCGGGCATTGGCAACACCGGCCTCGTCCCGCTCGGACTCGTCATCAGTCACGAAATTGTCGCTCAGTGGACTCGACATTTCGACCGATTTCTCTCGATATTTAATTCAAAAAAATATTTATTTTGACCCCCCAGAATTTAACGTCACGCAAAAAAAAAAGGAAAAAAAAATAAAGGTATGCACCAAAATTCTAAACTATTTTGTGGTTGTAAAATTTGATAATTATGTGGACCAGTCAGTGTCCAAAGATATACTAAATACTTCTGACAGAAATTATTGTAATCATTTAATGTAAAATTTAAGTGAAACTATTAATTCTGAAAAAGAGCAATGCACATTTCATTTAACCCTGGTTCACTCTACTAAAACGTTCGCTGAATGTCAAATTAAATTAAAATTTCGCAACCTGCGATTTGACGCTGTCGTAAACAAAATAAAATAAACAGTTCCTATTTAAATAAAAATGACATGGGTAGCCGAAAAAAAAATATATAAAAATCCTTTCCTTTTTTAATTAAAAAGAAGAAAAAAAAAATAAAATAAAATAAAAAAATGTATATAAAAAAAAAGAAATATAGAGAGAGTACAAAATTTGAATATTACAGTTAATATATATATAATGAAAATACTATCTGAAATTTTGAAAAAGAAAAATAAATAAAATCAAATATTATTTTCACAAGTCACTCTATCTTTCTCACGGTCGTTCCGAATACGGCCGGGACCACTGTTGTTACTTACAACTTTTCCCGACACAAAACAAATAGCGACGCTGTGTTTACCCTCTGCTCTCAGTGTTGATGAATAAAAATGGCTTCCATAAAACTGTAATTTTCATCCTTCCTTTCGAATTATAAAATTCAGCCTTCCTTTTGACCTAATAACTGCTTGACGTTGGCCTTGAATATAGCCTCTTCTTGGCAGTTGTCGTCAACGACTCAGGAGGCATGAAAAAAAGGTTGAAATCAAACGGAGGAAAACTGTTACTGCAAGGTAATGTAAAAAAAAAACGAAACACACCTGTTGCATGGGCAGGAATGTTTTGCCCATGCGCCGTTTTCCAGAGCCTTTGTGTTTAAAGATTGCTGCTACCCTGATGTCAATTTGTTAAAAACCAAAGTCAGGAACTTCCTCTCGTCATCCGCCGGTTCTGGTAGCTTTGATGAAATATGACGAGGAAAAATAATATAAAAAAAATAATCCTTTGAGGTTTGCTGGGGCGTCTTATGGCCTCCCCAGTGTGTCCTCGTAGGCCGGGACCACTGTTAAATTAATGTTCATGAATATACGCCCTAAATTGGCGATAAAATAATAAAGGAAGTGCGAAAAAAAATTTTGCAAAAAAAAATCAATAGCAAGAGGAATAATGATTATAATTATTTTCTCTTATCATGAAGCAAAAGCGAAGAGTGATGCCGTCTCCACTGTACAGCAATGGCGTGCCTTTCCCACGTGCTCGCACTGCTCCAAAAGTGATAAGTAAATTTCACAGTTCAATTGCACTTTTTTGCACGAAATATTTGCGGCACAATGTCCCGCGATTTTTTCGATTTTTAATAGTCACTTCCTTCATCTAAATAATTCGTGATCACTGAGATAAAACGCGATGATTAACCCCGCGTGCTTGACATCACGTCGGGGTCACCAATGTGGGATTTTGAATATATAATTAATTGTTGATAAATTAAATAATAATCAGAAGGCATCCCATCTGATTTGGCGTGTCACTTAATAAAATCTCAACTAAAAATGACGATTTTTAGGTTTATAAAAATGAATTTATTAGAGACGTGTAAAGTGCGTACTCTCAAGTAGTGGTCCCGTACATAACTGACAATTAGGCGCGAACACTCATTCTTTCCGCGCATATTCTCTCTCGCTTTACAAAAGAGCGAGAAGCCATCAGAAACGTATGTCATTCCTTCTTACTTGCTACGATCCCCACAACTGTAACTGTAGGTAAATATATTTAACACGACGTAAGAACCTAACCTATATTATTAACGCACACACGCACACGCAAGTAAAGACACGACGATTGGTCACGGAAACCGAAAGATCGCACGATTCGTTAGAAGTACACAGCTGAATCGTCCTTATATATTAAACGAGTGGAAAAATATGTGCCTTCGAGAGAGAGCATTTTTTAAAATAACTTACTAATCAAATTATGTAAATAAGTAAAAGTCGTGAAAAAAATTATGTTATATTGAGGAACAGTTCTTGAATTTAATTTGGCATGAAGAGACATTCACGTTTATTAATAAAAGGTTTTTTTCTTTCATACAAGTGTGAATTTCAACTTCGAAAACATTAGGGTTAGTTCGCGACGTCAGGTGATGGACTCGGTGATGCTCGGGCGAAATCGGTTAAGTCCGCCCGCAGTCCTTCCAAAATTGGTATGTTACGTTAGAATGTCTGTTATATATTCTATCTATATGTGGAAAAAAGGTTAGAATGGTAATTCTATTATTCATATTATTATCCGTATTATTTCACAAACAAAAACTAGCATTTTATTCTTTTCTAAAGAAAAATAAGACTATTTCTAATGCAGATAGTAATTTTTGTACACCGAAGGTTGCTTAATATATAACGAACTTATCATATTTTAGTATTAATGTTGAAATTATTAGCACAACGCACGAAAAATCCTCACATTCTAACGTACTTTTAGAATAAAGATAACCAAATATATTTAATATTAGAAGAAAAAGTTTCTCCGTGTACAAAATAACAATATCTCCAGTTGTACAATATAACAATCTTAAAAAAAAAATTGTGTCAAAATGATACCTACCCAACAAAATGACTCAGTAAGTTGACGAAATCTGCAAACAAGTGAAGAAAGATGAAAAGTGAAGAAATGTGAACAAAATAACTCAGAAAGTTAACAATCTCTGGACACAGTGAAGAAAAGTGAACAAGTGAAGAAAGACAAACAATAAAGCAATTTAGCCCAAAGGACTCAGTAATTTGACGAACTCTACAAACACAGGAAAAAAAAGTCTGACTCCGTTTACACCTTAAATTCAGCCTGCTCAAAAACAGGCTGAAAGTAAAACTTTTTTTTTAGTGTGAACAAGTAAAGAAAGGTGAATAGTGAAGCAATTTAGCCCAAAGAACTCAGTAAGTTGACGAACACTGAAGACAAATGAAGAAAAGTAAATGGTGAAGAAATGGGAACAAAATGACTCAGTAAGTTGACGGAATCTACAAACATGTGAAGAAAGATGAATAGTAAACTAATTTTGACAAAAGGACTCAGTAATAAGTTGATGAACTCTGGAACAAGTGAAGAAATTGAAATAGTAAATTTTAACAAAAGGACTAAGTTGATGAACTCTGGACTCAAGTGAAAAAAAGTGAAATAGTGAACAAAGTGTAGTGAATAGAAGACAAAGAAGAAGAAAAAGTGAAGTGCCATCAAAAGGAATTAAGGACCAAAAGGTTACTGTTGCAGTTGCAGAGAACTTCATTTCCGAGCCCGCACTATAGAAAGCAGACAAGGTAAGATTATTATTACTCGCATGCTCTAGATTTATTTATTTATTGATTAAAAAACGGCAATTTTTAACCCTAAACACCCAATGGTGCGTATACTTCATAAATTCTACGCTACTACAATAAACAAAGAGAAATGAAGTATAATTATTAAAAAAATTCAAAAGAGAAAACTATTCTCAAATGATGTTCCATTATGAGAAACCTTTCTCTTCATCTGATTTATTCTTCCCTTCCCCACCCCCTCAATTATATATTTTCTATCGGGGAAATCAATTCAACTATAAATTAGCCGCATATGCCACGAATAACATATAACGGGTCTTGTATAAACGACAATGTAACAAAAGAACATTAACATTAATATAATGAAAAGGTCGCTCGCGCCCAATAATGTTCGGAGAATTAAGAAAACAGCTACTCGTTAAAAATGTCTGATCCGTAAGAGATTCATTTTGTTTTTTTATTTTTTTTTATTTCTTTGGTTAAAATATGCACAAGGAGGTAGAATGAGTATGGGTAGAAGGGAATAATAAGGAAGCTGTAAAACAAACGGTTTTGTAATGGTGAATTTGGTGACGATATGAGTTTGGGCCAAAAAAAGATATATAAGGAATGCATTGTAAAACGAGAGTTTAATTAAGTGCCGGAGTTTTTCAAATGAATTCCAAATTTATACAAGAGGTATTTAATTTCCGTATGTTTTTTGTTATATTCACATTATTGCGGTGTGCAAAAAATACTTTAGACATTATTTTGCGTTCCGTGGGATTTTTTTCGGGGAAAAATAATTCAGCTTCTTCTTCTTCTTCTTCTTTTGGTTTAGTGTGTAGTGTTGTGTATAGAAGAAAGAAGAGTAGGTCCCTCCCGCCATTGTGGTTGCATACAGGGGCGCAATTAATTATTGCGTGCCCGCGAGGGAGTATAGGTACGCATTGTTGCATCTGTTGCACGATCATTTCTATTTATATAACGTGAATTCCATTCTGTTTCTTCTAGTTAATGCCTACGTATTTTACTTTTTATAAAAATTAGTTCACGGATCTCTCGTGAACTAGTACATCACTTTTGGATGGGACACAAAATTTCAAAATTTTCATTCACTTTTGATTAGAAATGACATCACGTTGAAGTCCACAACGTTTATCAACGAAAAAAATTGTTCTCTTAGTAAATTATTAGTTAAAGATAACAGAGGAATATTGTCACAAAAATATTTAGAAAAAATAGACTGATGTTTATAATTTGATAATAATTGTTATACAATTAAATATTAAATTAAAAATAATATTGGAATAGATTAAACAAATTTTTTTCGTTGATCAACGTTGTGAACTTCAACTTCGTAATGACGAACTTTAACGAAAAAATGCAACCAAGTTAATGAATTATTGACGAACTGTGTAAAGCAAAAGTAGTTGGTCAAAAGTTAACGTACAAGTTCACAAAAAAATCGTGAACTGTTGCATCGCGACTTTCAGTAGTATGCGCAGTTCGTAATGCGCATCAAATATGTCTGATCAAGCATTCATTATTCAGTCGGTGTTTACATTCGGAAAAAGAGCAGTCTTGGA